CTTGCGCTACGGCGAAAATTACTCCTAGTTCTGCATTACCTTTCTGTACTTTATAACAAAGTTGACTGTCCTCACATATTAGAGAAATTCAGTTTTTTTGTGCCTGTACGCATCTCTAACAGCAATATGGGTTTAGTGGCGCCGCGACGGCGTCCGCGGCTGTTATCCACACCCCGCACGCGTACCGTATACGCTGCGCAGGCACCTACTATACGTGCACTGCATCTCATTGGTGACATCCTTGCTCAACATGAAAAAAGTGATGTATTTTTTGATGGTATTACTCGATTAGCTATAAGTGCTCGACATTTCTTAACCAATATTGACTGTGTAATTGATTATTAATTGATTATCTGTGACTGTTATTATTATTATTTTCTTGACAAATTATTTTAATTTATATGACATTTGTTTTAGTTTATTATTTTCATGACATGCGTACTATTCTATAATTTTGTTATTATTATGATATTGACATCTTTTAAATGTAATTGAAAATTAACTAAACTGACATTGTTTTTTTTAATTTTCTTTTTATTGCTATGTTTAACTTGCTGGTGTGTTGGATGTATTAGTCTGTAAGTCAGCATGTAACTAAATAAATAAATTATCAAAATTTTTTAGACAATTGATAAATAAAGATAAATATTTGACAACAGAAGTAATAATAAAGAATAAACAGAAGATTAACAAAAGTAATTAAGTGACACTCAATGTCTTTTCCGCATTAAATAAAATTTTAAATGTATGTTTGTGTCATTAATAAATTTAAAAAAATTTAGTATTCTAAGGGAATAATATTTCTGCTCAAAGAAACTACACCACGCGTATAAAATTATGCCTATATATAATACAGTCAACTGATCTCGTAAAGTTCATTTAGCATAATAATTCTCCGCTAACACGGCACTAATTTCGATTTGTTTACGAAATGGCGCCACCGATTGGTCTATCTCTGTAATTGCTGAAAGATGTTTTTACAAAACTTCGAAAAAAAATAGCACGTTTAAAAATTTAAACAACAAGTACTAGACCATTATCAGTAATTTTATTCTAATGTCACAGATATTTTTAGCTATTGTATGTGAATAATGCTGTTCCTAAATTAATAAGGGTATAAGTTTTTACATCTGATAGTAGTAAAAAAATGCTTCATTCGTCTTGCCATAATTTATTATGGTTTATGTAAAACGATCAGATCATTATTTAGGTACCTTTCTACGTCTTCGAACGGAATTACCGACGTTCCAAAAATCTCATCGTACATAGCGTAAGTGACGTGTAGCTTCAAAGAGAGCTGCCCTACACTGCGCTCCACCGCTCCGATCAGGAAAAAAACGGACAAGTGCACAAGCTACTCATCCGAGTTTTTCATGTCATTCCGGACCGGAAAAAATCGGACCGCCGGACCTGAAAATTCAGTGTAGTGCACAAGCGCCCTTTTTCTTAATAGAGAACAGTTCCAAATCTCAAGTGACTGTTCTCTATACTTCTTCTTTTTTAATTCATGGCCTATTTGCATTTACACAATTCTGCCAATGTCACGTTTGTGGTCTTTACACGTATAGAAACAATAATAAAATATATAAATTTTGAATTTAAATAAAATTAAAAAAATAGCTCTGAGCGCGTCAATCTGATTACATTGTTAAAGATAATACAAATAAAATGTATATAGAAAACAAAGATATTTATAAATTAAGACTATTATTGATTGCGAGGAATTAAGATAAAATTTTGAATGGGCTGGGTCATAGAGAATATTGAATAATGAGCTAGGTTTCTCCATACTCAAGATACATATTATATTTGTTGGACGTGAAACTTTTGATGGTAGCAAATCATAAAGCGAAATGAATAAATTTGGACAATTAAATAAAATATGATCCGTAGTTCCTTCCTCAATGCCACAATCGAAGAGGGGGTTGTCTTTAATTTTAAATTTGGCAAGTCGAACTGGGTAACACAAATGTCCAATTCTCAGGCGACAAATAATTGAAATAGTTTTTTTACTTAAAAGCTTCTCCTTAAAGAACCAGGAAGTACTGGGGATAGTCCTCTGAACGTCAAAATAATACTTTCCCGCTCTATTTCTAGTATTTTCCCAATCAACATTCCATGACCTCATAAAATGTTCATGTGCTAGCACAAAGAGATCGTGATGAAAAAGTTTGGAATATGTATAGGTGCCATCTTAAGAAGCTACTCATTACCATGCGAGGGTAATGAGTAGCTTCTTAATCTGTTCTCTATAACTTATGGCTTTTAAGTTTCACGCAGCAAAAAGTGCTAATTTTCTGTCTTTCCACTCTGACCAACTAAATCGACCAACTGAAATAGATCAACTATTTTTCTTTCTCAACGAATCAACTTTTTTGGTAGATCCAATAGGAACATTATATCAATTTAAATTTGTTCCCATCCACACAACTTAAACGGATCAACTATTTTTTTTTAGTATGTATATCACTAAAAAATTTGTAATTTTTTTAAATAGAACCGACTTCATACTTTATAAATGTGAGAAATAATATACTGATATCTATTGTTTTCACGCGCGCTATCCATAAATGTAACAGCTTTTAAACGGTTTCGTCCCGTTTGTATTTACTTTTTTAGGAACCCAAAGGTTGGAGGTTGGTGTTCCTATTGTGGCGATGGAGACAACTGGCCAGGGAGAAGACTAAAGGATAATTGTCTCCCTCCGAGCTAGGTGTTGTTAGCCCGGGGACCGCGGTCCAACCGATGTAGGTTGGATGTTCTATTTATGTTAATTGGTAATTAAACTTATTCAGTGTGATGTAGGTTTCTTTGTTCTAAATGTCTTGTAGTTATTAATTTATGCTGTTTGTATTGGTACAGCGCCATCTCGTTACTTGCTGTTGAAACTTCTTGCAGTTCGTCTTGCTATCGATGGCTGTGACGATGCTAGTCTTATCGCTATCGATTGTTTTGGCGATGTTACTGCGATGAATTAGATGTCGCTATGTATCAGTCGCCACACTTTTAATACGTTTCGGACACTTCACAGGTTCCTTGTTCACATAAGACTAAGGCGTTGAATATTCAAGATAATCATTTTAATAACAAATAAAAAACCTCCACCCGCCTTTAAGTATTATTTCTCACCTTTTTTTAAATTTATATTTAAACCGATAGGAATATTATTTGATTTTCAAGTTTTTCAATAAATTAAAACAACCAATTTATACAAAAAAAAAATCAGTGACTTAATACTTCAGTTAACAAGACATAAGGATTTCTCACTATAAGGCCAGTGGCCAGTTCATTAGTGAAGTTTTAAGACGAAAGTTGTGTGCGTGGGAAAAATACAAATTAATAAATTATTCCTATCAAACCAACTGAAAAGTTGTTTCTTTGAGAAAGAAAACTAGTTGATCCGTTTCCTTGGTCAGTTCAGTTGATCAGAATGGAATATTTTTTCCCAAAACATAATATGTGATCAACCAGTTAGTCAGATTGGAATAAAACCCTTCAACAAGTTCCATTATGCACAACCAGTTGGTCAGTTTAATTAGTCCGAATGGAAGGACATATAATCTTATCAAACAGCTATCAACTCAACTGACAACATAGCTAAGTTTCGAACTTAGCAAATTTCAGTTTTTTAATGTTTGCTAAAAGGAACGGAAATGACTATCTTTGGCCCATTCATTTCCTGCAAATATCAACTTTTGGTAGAGTCGCCTTCTAGTGGAGGTGCTTTCTTTTTATTTTTAAATACTTCCTCATTCACACATAACAGGTTGCATTGTTTGGGATCCATATTATTTAAACGTTTTACATTACGCGTTATATTTTATACAGTTATTAAAATTGCATTACATGACCGTCAATGTAGTGTTAATCTCATAAAGACGTATGTTTGCGAACTGTGATCGCCGCTTCTTGGTGATCGCGGTTATTGTAAAGAAAGTCTCCCAAACATCCTTATGGTTATAAGTGATTCACTTAAGAGTGAATTCAGCTTTACTTTAAACCGTTGTGGAAAATAGTTATTGTCTACATATTACTAATCTGTGGTTATTGTATCACTGAATCATTAGCAAGGATCATTAGTGATCATGGTTCAGGCAAATATCTTGTGCTATAATATACTACTCTTTGTCTCTTGTTGAATAACTGCCTATCGCGAATATCGTCTATCGCTGTTTTAGTATGGGAGGTGTTACGTGTTACATATGTCGTTATTTTATTTGGGAAACAAACAATATTTATAATGTATACAAATTAAACATTTTAAAATACATAACACATTAATCAGTTAAGTTTCCACTAATAGTTTTTCCTATAAACATATCACTTTTCACATTAAATTATTATCATTAGATTTAATTTTCATTAATCACTAACATAAAGAAGCTATAATGTCAACAATTAATATCAAAGTTACGCAATGGTCAATATTCAAATTAAATTACGACTATAAATAAGAATAACAATATCACTTAATGTTCGTCGAGGTTATCGTTTATGTTTTTTCCAAGTTTTTTAGATAAGGCATTGTACAATAAAAAATGCCAATGGAGTTAAATTTCATGTCATATTCCTTACAAGATCTATAAACAAAAATATGTTTTGCATTATAAACAAAAACATTTTCGTTGAAACAGGTATTTACTCATTTTATAGATGTAGTCTAAAATAAAAAATAATGACTTCAAGTTTAAAACTGATACTTTCATACAAAATTTTAACCTTCTTATGTATTGAATTTCCGTTAATCTTTCGTAGTGTTTTCGACCATTGACCAAACTTTAATAGTTTATGCTACGCGATGATGAATCAGTACAATAAATAATTATTTAATTTGTATAGATTTATGTATTTTTAAATTAGTTGATGTTTCATTTAATTTTAAAATAAAATTTGCTAAAAAATATAAATGCGCAGAAGGCGGGAATTAATGGGCACATACTGGAAAAGAATAAATTTATATGTAAATATTGAGGTATATGGAAAATAATAAAAAAATGAAAAAAAAAAAACAAATTACTTTGTAATAATACGATAACAAACGGAAAGCCCTTTTTGAGACAACCAAAAGCAATAATGAAATGAGAGACATTAGATATATCTATAATTAGTGAAAAATCTTAATAGCAGTTGCTATTATAGTCAAGCATAACAAGTAACAATAAATTCTTAACTATAACAACCAATAAAAACATAACAAAAATGATGTGTGATCTTAATAAGTGTACTTGCCAAACAGTGTTAACAGTACTGATATTTTAACACAATTACATATCAAAATAGTGAACAGGCACATTAGCAATTTGCAGGGATTATACATTAAAGATTATTATTAAAGTTACTTATTCCCTCAAACAAAATCTGTAAATGCAATATTATTACACTAGTAAAAATATAACATTTAAAAACAAATGCTAATTTGTTTTTTCTTTGATGATACAAAATTAAGTTTTTATGGTTATAATATATATTGTAATTATTAACAAGATAATTGAACCACTTGATCTTGATCTGGATATGTTGGCAACTTTAAATTGTATTTTGATATTATTCCTGAGGGTAGAAACCTCCCACCAAGGAAATGTTTAGCATTTTCCAGTATTTCTGGTTTGGCACATAGTTTAGGAGCTGACAGGGATATGAGGACTGATGGCTTCAAAGCGTTACTATCGGTAGGTCCTTTCTCAACATCCCATCCACTTGGTATATCAACACTGAAAACAGAATGCTACATTATAAAATAAAAGGACTTTTAAATGATTTTATCAACACAGCATTTAAATTTATTAACTGACCTGCAGACAGGAAGACCACTATTAATCAAAGCATCTAATGCAGGCTTCAATTCATCTCTAACAGGTGGTTTAAAGCTAAATCCAAATAATGCATCCACCAAGACTTTATATTCAGTCTTTAAGTCACTTGGTTGAGGCAGCGTATCAATTATTGTAACCCCAAACCTTCGACATTGCTCTAGTAAATTCTCATAAAGAGGTTTAGGAGTCCGTTTTGGATAGTATACAGCTACGTTATATCCGAATAATGTCATATGACGTGCTGCTACCAATCCATCTCCTCCATTGTTTCCTGGTCCACAGATAACCAAAGCATTACCATATCTGTATAGATATAAATCACACAGTTAATCATCAGTTAGCTTGTTTAAGTAAAGAAATTGATAGATCAACTAAATAGATACCAATGATAGATCAACTAAATAGATTTAACGTTTACACCATTTACAACTTACGATGCTGATGGGTATGACTTTGCTACCGCTGTGGCTACACTCAAACCAGCAAGTTCCATTAGTTGATCAACACTAAATCTATAATCAGTAAAGAGATCCTGGTCTAAAGAGGTAGCTTCTGCCTGTGATAAATATTTAACTCCTCCAACGCTGCATAATCGGTTTGTAGTCATAGTGTTAAAAGAGTAAGCTACTCGGAGCTAAAACAATTAATATAGCTAGTAAATTAACAAGCAAAATTAGAACGGGTTCACACAGAATTAATAGGAAACGATGATTGATACCAATAAAGCACCGCTGATTAATCTGAAAATTAACATCTACTTTATTAACGACACACAGTTATAAGATACGTATGTTTTTCGCCAAGAGAACAGTAATATGTTTTTCGCTAAGAAAATGAAATTCTCCTAAAACTGTCAAACAAATATAATTAGGGATGATCGAAATTATTTTAATCGAATAATCGATATCGTGCCTCAAAAATCGATTTAATTACGGTATGTACGGAATCTATATCAATCCAGTGAATTGATATTTTTCCCTAGAATATATCGACGCTGTTGTTAAAGATTACAGGAGTTTTACGCATGCGATAAGTTCAGAGTCAAAATAATCTTTATTCAAATAAACTTCTTAAAAGTACTTTTGAATCGTCCAAATTTTTTCCCCTACCACTCGTTCAAGACGTCTTTTGGCTGATAAGAAGAACGAGCAAGAAACTCACCAGCTCTAATAGGAGTAATGACATTTTCAAAAACCATATCAAATCAATCAATCAATACATTATAAATAGAGAGAGAAAAAAATCTATGGTCTTATAATGATGGAAACAAGATAATTTTTTATATATAATCAGTCTAGAAGTAATCACCTATCCAGTAGCTGGATCATCTCAAGTCCAAGCATTCTTATCCGTTATATAATCAGATACCTTATAATAAGCTTTTTTAATGGGGAATTTTTGTAATAGTAGATTTTAACTGCATGTTGTCTAATTATTGTGGTTTTTTTTTTGTACAGCGCACACAAAGACCCCTGAATGAGTTATTCACTTTTTGCAGTCTAGTGACAGGCACCGTGAATTTATTTTTATTTATTGTATTAAAATTGTGTACATCACTTTTTATAGAAACAAACTAATATTTTCACGAACTTTAATTAAGTTCTCGTATATGTATCGAGAAGCAACTGTCATTATATCTATTTCTTTAAATTTCTCCCTTAAAGAATCCTTAATCCTAAGATTGAAAATTGATCTAATTGCTCATTTTTGAAACATAAAAATCGTTTGTTTGTCGGCAGCAAGTAAAATTAAATAAAATACTTCAAATCAACCTTTTAAATAAATTATGATTATACTTAAGGGGCAATTTTTGCAAAAATATACACTACAACAGGGATATATAGAAGAGATAAAGAGGCACTATAAGAATATAATATTGATCAGTAATAAGATAAAGAAAATGAGACATTAATTAATCATAAATTATGGTGCAGAAACACCAAGCTCAGGCAAGAGTCTATTGTATATTCGACTCTGGCTAAATAAAAACAATGAATGGGAGCACTAACTAATTTGGCCGAATTTTCGGTTCGGTTTAGCTTAAACCCAATACTATTCGTTATTCGGTGAAACCATTATTCAGTGCATCTCTAGGGTAAATGATGTATAACATTCCAGGCAAGTATTTTCTAGATCCCTTTGCCTGAAAGTGTAAATAAATAACTAATTTTTGACGTAATTTGTAAATGTCATAGGTTTTACTTTTACAGAACAAACAAGGTTGTTTATTATCAAAGACATGGCTACGGCCAATTTTTTTCTATGATATCGAAGAAAAATTTTGTACAACAGATAATGGCTGTATGAGCTAAGCTCTCTTTGCCGTTCCTTTAAGGAAAAATCTACCAAAAAAAAATGTCAATGTCATATCTTGTTGCTTATCCGTCATAAAAATGGCTGCGCTTAGAGTATTTAGCCGTAATTTACCGTATTTACGACAGCAATTTTCTGCTTTGTTAGGAAACACATCACCATCAGTCAAGTTTATCTGTGTCGTAGTGGTAATCGGTTACATTTTATCATTTTCAGACGAAGTGATTGACGTTCTTAGTGTTACTCCTGGTTATTTGTTACCACCTTCTTTTCAATTATGGTCTACTTTCACGTTCTGGTTTCTCGAAATACATTTGTGGGAGGTGGTCATCGACATAATAACAGTGGGATTATGCGGGAAACTAATAGAGCCCCTATGGGGACAAATGGAGATGATGAAGTTTTTCCTGTTAACGAATATAGGAGTTGCATTTCTGACGACCTTTTATTACCTGGTGATATTTGCGTGCACAGGACAGGCTTCTTATTTATTCGAGATTCATGTACATGGCCTGGCCGGTTATTTAGCTGCAGTCTGTGTCGCAGTGAAGCAGATATTACCTGACCACTTATTGATAAAGACACCTCTAGGTACCTTATTTACATTGACCACGCTAAATAGTACTATAATTATGAAACTTAAATTAAAAAATTTGACAATGTAATTTTTTAATTTCAGGTAAACTTACAAACAGGTCCTTGCCTTTATTGATTTTGATAGCAGCAATAATTCTTTGGGCAATTGGAGCTCTAGAAGGTACTTACCCATGTATGTGGGGCAGTGGTACAATCCTATCATGGATATACCTGAGATTTTGGCAGAAACATAGTAGTGGAACAAGAGGAGATATGGCTGATAATTTTAGTTTTGATAAGTATGTATCAGTAAACTAATTGTTTATTAATAATTAACCTTTACACTAAATAAATAAAAATTGCACTCTTGCAGGTAAAACCTGTGTCATGATGCTGCACCTAGTGTGCAACTTTATATTTTACTAGAACATTATACGTGGGTTTATAAATGATTTAGTTAAGTTTAAAGAAAACCAATTAGCATTAAATTCAATGCTTAGTGTTACAATACAAAATAATCATAATTTTATAGATAAATAAAAAAAATAGTATATTTGGAAAGGCGCATCTGCAAAAATCATAGTAATGCTGACATCATTAAACAGATGTCTATGCTTTCTAACTATTTAGTGAGAAATATATAGTTCGCAAATATTATTGTTGTTAGGATCATTGGTATTATCAATTATCTTATTATTTTCCTTCTATTTAATTTTTTTATTATATTTTAATTTACAGTTTTTTTCCAACGGTGTTGCAGCCAGTCGTATGTGGCATACTTGGCCCCCCTCACAGGTGTCTGGTAAGATTAGGGCTGTGTTCTCCAAACCCAAGACGAGTGCACCTGGCACTAAGCCCAAGAGGTGTCACTATATCTATGCCTGGTGTAGAACCCCAGGATATGGAGAGAAGAAGGTAATTTGACATAAAGTTTTGGTATGTTCTGAAGTTTTATGATGATTGAGCAAAGCATTAGGTATTAATAAATCATGGTATGCAATAGTGATGTTCCAAGTCGGCTATATTTGGTATTCAAGTACTTTGGTACTCATTAAAAAAAGAATCAAGTCAGTACCCGAGTCAGAAGAGTCTGGTAGGTATTCGAGAACTAGCATAAGTATTCGAATACTTCAGTGGACTCGTGTATTATTTGAATCAAACTTTGTAGTTTGCATGAGTTTGATGACAACTACACATTATAATGAACCATGAACAATAGGAAAGTAATAATAATATAATAATAATAATCTTGATTTTATAATTTTAATCTTGAAACTGTAAATAACTTTAAAATAAACAATTATATAAAATAAAATAAGAAAATAAACAAGAATACTTATGTTAAAAACTTTAAGTTACTTCGTAAACATAAAAATCTTCTATAAAATTATTAGTAATCAATGAAAGTAAAATTGTAGTATGAAACTAAGTACTTATTGAATGAACAGTTCTGTACCATTAGTCACAAATAAAACCGTATGTGATAAGCTAAAAGGTTGCTATTAAAGTACACGACTTAGGATTCGAATACCATAAGTATACCACAGGATTCGAGCCTGTACTCGAGTACCTGCGTATCCGAATTCTGTATTTTAAGTACTAGCAGGTACTCGAGTACTTCATACTCGTAAGTACTTGAATCAGTCTGACTCGGCACATCTCTACTATGCAATAGTTTCAAAATTAGTTATGGAATCATTAAACACTATAATTGACTTTAAAAACAGATTGCAAAAAATTTACATTTACCTGCTCTTACATAAATTTGGATATGATGTAATCTAAATACAATTTATTTTCAGACAAATAGCACTGAAAGCCTTGAGTGAGAGGTTATCCAAGACGTCAGAACAGACAAGGCAAAAGAATTTATCAACCAAAGTTAACATGGACACTGTCAGGAAGATGCAGCAGTCTCATGTCATTCCACAGTTTCCAACGACAGAAACGGCGAGCCAGGGCCCTCCACCGGCGCCTACGGAGGCCACTCTAGTAGATATAGGCACAGACCCAGTACTGCCATCAACCACTAAACAATCATGATCATCACAGGATTAAGCATTACTTCAAAAACATTAACTGTTCACAGAACCAATGCAGAACTATACGGTAAATACTGGCTGTGTAAAGTTTTGAATACCTACTGTCTTTATGTACTATTTGTTATTAACAAACAATTAACGCTTTGTTAAGTTCTCAGATAGAAAATGCAATTATTTGTTTTATATATCTGTCGAGAAAGATGATATAAAAAAATATTTATTTTAAAGATAGGAGGCATTATCAAGTTTATGTTGAGATCGAATCAGATTTAACTTAGAAATGTACTGTCATATTGATTAAGAGATAAAAGGGAAGATATGTGACACTCATAATTGCATCAACCAAAAAACTGCTCCCTTACTGAAACAAGATTTAAAACTAAAGTGAATTAGATAATTCTATCTGCCTTTATAAAATTGACATTCTATGTGCACATTTATGGACTGATTAACACAACTAAGACTATATGTAAGTAAAGGGAAAATATGTGCATGTACCTAATTACTCATTTAACTGAAGTATATATATATTAGAAACATTATTTATCATCTTTATTTTGGATAATGTCAATTACAGTCTTGTTTTTAACATGACAAAACATGTCAGTCAGAAGATATACTTCGACATGTATTGCCCCTGGTGGAATATTTCAGAGGCAATACATAGACCTAATCACCGTTAAAGACGTTATATACTTATCTATCTTCCCTTAATTTTTTTAACATGTTTATTGCCAAGCCAAAGTCATGAACTTGCATAAATAGTCATAACTGTATGGAGCGAACTAGCGAGCGCAAGCAAAACAAACAATATTGCTACCCGTAGACCACGCCCATCTGTCAAAAGTTCATAGGTTACTCTAGTGGCCAAAACAAATACTAAAAGCGGATACCTAACGACCGATGTTCTATGGCCCGTACAAGATTGTAATAAGCAGCTTACAGGTTTACGCGACGTCGCGTGATACGGCAATGAATGTGAAACATAACAAATAAGAAATATGTCAATGCAGCCATATTATACATATGTATATAAAATTGGTACAGCAGATTGCTGCCGAACTTGCTAAAGTATATACTTAAAAATATATATATGGGCGGGCAGCATATTCTTTTAAAGTTAAGTCATTTCTGCAAGGGCACTGTGAATAATTAAATACGAAAAGTATTTGTTTATATTACATTAAAGTCTGGTTATAAATATTATTGTGTAATGTTGATGTATAAATGCAAAATGTTTTTTTGCACAATGCATTTGTTGGTGGCGTGAGTTTTGGGTGGAAGGTGTAAATGAAGAGACTTTGTAAATATTATTGATATTGATTAATTAGTGATAATAAATAATACCCAATTAATTAATAACCCGAGTTATTTTCGTCTGTCCATGATGATGTTAATATATTTGTAATAAACGATTCACTAGTTCAATAATGACGGGATCTTGTCAACTTATTGTTAAATAGTTGAAAAGAAAATAAAAGATATGTTTTGTAATTATTATTTAATACAAAATTTTATTTTAAACTTAAAACTTTCTTATTACAATATTTCTTCTAGAATAACATACAGAATATACATAATAATGGAACTTATTTACAGGTTCTGCCAGGTCTATAATTTAGATATCTTCAATTATATAATCATTAATTCCTTTTTTCTGTAACAGCTATGACAATACAAAAATTATGTCGTGACAACAAGAACAGTACCATAATTAAAATAGATTCATGATTCAATGCCATGTTGTAGTTTATGAACATGAAAAAATGTATGAGGTTATTTTTCAATGGAGTACAAGGATTATAATATGATTATACAATTGTATAAGAGTCATATTACATGAACATTAAGACTAAGTCTTAATTGAGTAGCGAGACTTCCGAATTGAAATAGACAGTGGAACAATTCATAAATAATTGAATTTCAAATACTTTAGCAATATTTGAGACTGAGTTGGAGGAATAGGTTTTTACAAAATAAATTGAAGATAGTGGCCTCGAATACAAATTGAACTCTTAAATTATAATGTGTCTAATAGTGGACGAGTATTTAAGTTATCTGTTTAAATATTTTATGTCTAGAATATAATGACATATTTGTGACATCATGTAATAATCCTATTATATGAGGATTTGAAATAATGTAAAATAATGTAAATGATAATACAATACTGGTATTTATTATCAACAAATATTTACATCAAATATCCTAGTCATAAAATATTTCAAAACCTGAGAGAATTTCACTGCATTAACTTTCACATTCAATGTCCACTTTAAGGTAACAAGTTAAAAGATGAAATTTAAAAAGAAAAGGAAATATTCAAAAGTAAATAGATTTTTTCTCTAAATATATCAAAATAAGTATGACTAACTAATACACTTTTCCTAGGTTTGAAAACGAATGCCGGTCTAAACACGAACCAATTTTTACGGAATGATAACAAACACTATCGGTGAGGAATATGTAAGGGTCTCCAAGTTGACACTTAGCATTAAAAATTATGTTAATATTAAATAAAGTCCTGGTGCTGAGCCACGCTCGCGTGTTACAGTATAAAAATACCGTGTATCACGAAATAAACTGACCACTATCGATCTACGATTCTGGACAGTCGACTTTTGTCACTTCATTGTTTTAAGTTTGATAAAACATATCAATACAAAGTCTATTCGACGTTAAATAAATATTGCAAACTAGTGGAGTTTATTTGTAACGTCGTAGCGGTAGTCTCTACCTGTAGTAATGGTGGGGGGCTTGCGGGGGCCAGGGGGCGGGCGGGGCGGGGGCGGGCGCGGGCGCGGCGTACTCCGCCCACCGCCCCCCCTCGGCCCCGCCCAACCCCACGCCGCCCGCTAGACCGGACACCCCCGCCACGCTGTTACCTGCAATGTAACGTTGACATTCTAAGAGAACAATAAATTTTCAATAATGGCTAGTTTACACGTATTAAGTAGTTAATGAAATTGTCAAATAATTTTTTAGTTACTTAATTTATAACGACATGTTTATGTGTAGTAAGTTGATAAGTAGTTAACTTAATTTTTAAATGATAAAGTACTTTAACAAATCTGACATTAACCTTAACTTTTATTGACCTGTGCAATTAAAGTTAAAGTTTATGTCAAATAAGTAATGCAATCCAGCGTAAATTAATTAAAATCAAGTTAACTACTTGAATGAAAAGTATTATGAAGACAACTTTATATTTTAAACTGATTTCAACACTATCTCAATATTTTGGCGCGAGACTCCTCTTACGTCAATGTAAAAGTGACATCTCTCTGACAGATAGTGATTCCCGTAATACAATCGATAAATAGTTACGCTCTATATTATTCGATATTTGTTTTAGTCTAACAGTAGTAACGTGTGAACCGGCCATGTGCGTATAGTCACAAAGCACTCACCCGGCGGCGGCACATACGCGGCGGGCGGCGCCGAGTACGGCGGCGCGTAGTACGGCGGCGGGACAGACATACTGTGCGCCACCACCGCGCCCACAGACTGTTGCTGATACGAAATAATAAATACTCATTACTATTATTAATAATAAAGTAGCTCGGTGGTGTAGTGGATAAGCGCCACGGCCCGCGATCGTTGTCGTTAAGCAATTTTTGCAAGGGTCGGTCAAGGGATGGGTGACCAAAAAATTATTATCTCGAGCTACTCCGTGCTTCGGAAGGCACTTTAAGCCGTTGGTCCCGGCTGCATTTGTAGTCGTTAATACCCTCCAATCCGCATTGGGCCAGCGTGGAGAGTCATGGCCCATCCTCCCTAACCATCCATAAGGAAGGCCTGAGCCCCTGCAGTGGGGACGTAAAAGGGCTGGCGATGAAATACTCATTATTGAACAATAATAATAATGGCCTCCTCTGCCGGGGGTAATCCTCCCCCCCCCTGGAATCGTCGAGGGGTCGGGAAGAGTAAATTTAAAATAATGATAATAATCATTTATTCTCTCAACACAAAATTATGTACTTACATGCGAGTCTTAAGACTCTTAAAAACATTTTGTATCTTAATTTTGTGAGAGACTGGAGCCCGAAATTGGTTTCAGTAGAAACCTGTGTGACAGGTCACCAGGATCTCCCCACAGATAAAATATAACATAAATGAAGAACCAATACGAAAGAGAATGCAGTTAAAATGACGCCATTTTATGAGGAGATATCTATATTTGAGCATATATATATATATATATATATATAATATATATATATATATATATATATATATATATATACACAAAACAGCCACACATAAATATTTACATAAGAACGTACTAAAGACGGCCTTATATGTGCACCAAGCAACCAATAATAAATACAAGTTATTTGAATAAAGTTTACGATGATAAATATTATATTATAACTAGTATTTATTTAACTTTATTGTAATACAGCAGACTCGGGTTAAACAAACCATTGGAAGTAGCGAACTTTTCCGCTACCATAACACTTTGTGACGTCACTTAGTACCTTTTATAGCGTTTTCGGCCGACTAGCAGCAGTTCCACAAACATCACCGTATCTCCGAAACTATTAATCGCAGATATGCTATTGCTTCTATACGTTATTTCTTAGATATTAATGGATGATATATTTATAAAATGAAAGAAATTTTGTCACTGGTTCACATTTTAGGTTAGGTTAGGCAACATTTACGCTGACGGCCTAAGATGTGTGTTTAGTACCGGATAGTAGTTGTAGTAGTTATGCGTGTCGGTCTGGTCGTGTATGGGCACGGTGATGAGGTTGGTGCGGGGCGCGCGCGTGCGGTCGCCCCCCGCGCCCGCCCCCGCGCCGGCCCCCACCGCCGCCCCCGCGCCCCCCGCGCCGCCCCCGACTGCCGCGCGCGGGTCGCCCGCCGTCGCCCCCATCTTGAAATATAACAGCGTCGGTTACTATTGCACAACGTATATAGTCTAGTCGCCGAATAGAGAATTTCATCCCACTCGTACGTATTAACAGCTGAAGGCTCAAGGCCTATTGAACGGTTTTTTTCTATAATCCTGCCTCTGAAGCATAGATGGATTCTGTTCTGCAATTTTTTTCAAGTGACAAAATATCGAAAGATTAATTATTGGTGCCATATTATTTGCAAAATTGAAGTATATTGAGCTGTGAAACGTCTAAATTAAGTTAAGTTTTGTAAAATACTTTTTTATGTATGTGGCAGCACTTACAACGTAAAGACATACGTTTCGTTTTGTACGATGGTGCGTTTTGTTTAGGGGTTGTGAGCCTAAGCATTGCATTATAGAAACAAAATGATAATAGATTAAGACGAATGCTTTGTGCTAATTTGTATTATTACAGCTAATTAACGGAGTTTATAAAATATTAAAATAAGAATTAAACTGAGCGAAACACTGGATTCTAGCGAAATCCACAAGGGCAATGCCATTAATTAAAAAGAAGAAGAATAATACAGAACAGTGTCTAATGTACTTTGACACCATTTTGTGCATTAAATAACATTCTTTTGAAGATAGTAGCTTCAGATTACTACCAAATATTAATTTCATTACGTTGTAAAAAATAACTTGAAATTTTGCAAAGGTCCTAAAAGATTTTTTTTTAATATTCTACACTATAGTTTCTTCATATTTTATATGAAAATTCAAAACATTTTTCAATAATATGTATTCACATTTAACTAAAGTACGTAGGTATATTCAATAACGATTTGCCATCTTGTAATTAGGGACATGAATTGCTATAGAATTCTGTATTTTGTGACAACGTTGATGGGTTTGGTGAAACATCAAACATTATCGTTTTATGGGTTGGAGATAGGAAGAATAGCTATTTATTTTTTAAAAACATCGACAAATGTGCAAATTAAGGACTTATACTTTATTTTAAAAAAATTGTTTGTTGTTATAATTATAAAACCTTTTACTATAAAATGTAGACTGATTAGAATAATTACAATTCCTTTTTTTTTTACTCTTTAAATACTACTAGCATTCTTTGGTATAAATTATGCTAAAAGGTACATAAAAGTTACTTTTCTGAAAGAAGTTATATCACATTTAAAAATCTGTTAACATCAAAATCTTCAATGGCGTTTTTTCGAAATGACATTAATGTAAAAACTATTGTGGGTAAAGCATTCAGATAACCTTCACAGATATGATTTTAACAAAATTATAAAAATATTAATTAATTCACTTTCATTTTAGAAAGAAATATGTTGTTGTTATTACACTTACAGACAATGGTTTGACGACAGCGACAGAGCTGGTGGCCGGCTCCGACTCTGGTTTAGTTTCACTAGCAGACGGTAAATGCCTGTGGTTGATGTGTGCTTGGAGATCTCTCTGTTCATAGGAGCATAAACAAATTATATATAAAACAAATACATTATACCTATATACAGTTATTTAATCTATTCACTAGCATTTCATGATTTGCTTTTTTATATCTTCTCGTTAATTGCTTATATTAATTTTGAATGCTTGTTGAAACTAAATAATTTTATGAATACTTAAATGCATGGAGCGATATATTAGAAGTAAATTTTTATTTAGTCTCTTCAATTTTTACATATAGGTATACAAGACGAAATATATGTGAGACTATTTTTTGTGACTACACAACTATTTCACAGATAAGTAAGACTAGAAAGTAAGTTGTATTACAGAATTATATAATCACCTGAGATAAATAAGTTCTTCTGCAACCAGTGTTACCATATCTTGTTCCTGAATGGGTACACATATACACAGTACCCAAGCCAGTTTGTTCCACTCGTAATACCTAAAAGAATATATTAATAAATTAATAACAAGCTTTATATGCACCATATTGTGACTCCCTGTATATATTATGGCTTTAAGAAAATTACATTTTGCCATAAAAAAAAAATACATATTGAAGAAAACCATTATTTTATAGATAACAATGATATATTTTACTGTGTTGCATTTTTACTTAAAAAAAAAACTTTGCAAACACCAATTGTTTGAGTTATCCAACTTTTTTTTAGGTAACCTTTTTCTACAAATTGGAAAATTACACTAAAACTAACCTAAAATAGTATATCCAAAGAGTAAAGTTGCATTTGTCTCATCTATATGTATCTATCAAGAGAGTAATTTTACATTTTCAAAATTCAAATGACAGAAAATTCTCTCCATTGCTTGTTTTGGAACTAAAGACATGTAATTTTATAAAATACGATTACCAAAGTTAGTTAGTTAATATGTCAGTAATGAGGTTTTATTGATGTAAATTTTTAAATTTGAAAGACCAACAGCTGGTTTCTGAATTTAGAAAAGTACAAAATCTCAAATGATTATCCTCAATAACTTAAGTTTTTTTACAATTCTAGAGCATGGAACTATCACAATAAGTAGTGAATAATATATAATACCTTTTCTCTGCACCTAGGACAGTGCGTATGGTCTGCTCTTGCACATGAAAGGCAAAATACATGTTTGCATGGTATCTGAAAAAGAGATATTTAATGCATTGAGTTTTACACATAAAAAAATATCATTCATTTGTTACTATAGCATTAATTCCATAGCTAATGTTTGATATTATATTAAAAAAAGAAATTTGTTATCCATAAAAATAAAGTCTATCTAATAATTGTATTAATTACCATACGTCCATATATAAGTATTGGTTTTGAGCAAATATCACAACAGTAAATCATAGGGTTCAACACTTTCTCTCCGATAAGTGTAGCTCGATGGCTCCAATCCAATCGCAACATAGGTTCTGGTGGTCCTCTCTGCAGTGTAGTGAACACTGGAGTTTCCAACTGGGATATATCTGATGGTACCTCCACTGCAGTCATATTAAACATCTATATTATACATACATATATCTGCATTACATAAAACTCCATTGACAAGTTTGTTGCCCAAGTGAAAAATGTTGATTTGAAAAGGTTATCAAACTTATTATACTTGACAGTAGATAAGAAAGTATCAACTTCAATCTTTTGATTATAATGACAACTTTGATAACAATTTTGTCTATAAACATAAAAACACATTTGAACTACTTTTACTCACAATTTTAACTCGAGTTAGATAATGTAGATAAATTATTGACATAACATAACACAAATACCACACTGTTACAATATTTTATTATATAAATAAACAAATGTTTACTAACACTTTGGAGGTTCGGGTTCTTCGATTTCGTCTTTAACAGGAAGCTCCTCATTCACTGGCTCTTCCTGATCTTGTAAGGTTTCTTCCACTGAACATTCCTCTTCATCACTGGACATAACTTTAGGCACTTTCTTGCCTCTGCCTCTCCCACGGCCTCTACCACGACCGCGACCACGTCCTCTACCTCTACCTCTAGTATTCCTTTTCTCATTATTCATTGTAGTCTTTCTACAACTGAAACTAAATTACTGGAGAGTGATTTTAGAATTGTTGGCGTTCTAACCTTGTTGTAAAGATGACTCTGCCAACATATTTCACAATGATTTCAAAGGTATAACTTATATTTGATTAAAATAGTATTTTACGGGTCAAAACTGATATAGAAAAAAGTATTTTTTGTACAATTTCACACTTTTTATGAACCGCAAGCAAAACAGCACAAAAGTTTTTTTGTTATTGTCGTTTTTTAATTAAAATAAAAGTGAGGGAGTCTAGACATACAGCCTAGTCTGTGGCAATATATTCTTCTGTTTGTAGAATGAGAAAGTATTTAAAAAATAAAAATTAGTTCTTGAAATCATACTAGATGTCACTCGCGATGTTTGGATTTTGTTTATGATATTCATTAAAATTTTGTTTCTGACGTAAAGTAAATTGAGTATCGAAAATTAATAAATCGTTTTGTGTTTCTTATAATATCTAACTTTCAGATAAATTGTATTTTATTTTAATCGTAACTTTAAATTATTTATTAAGTTACGTGTAAAGGAACGATATTTGGTTGATACGTCAACATTAGTGATGAGCCAACTTATTGGTTGCTCGTAACTTTCATCTGAATTTAGGTTTGGAATAAAGAACAAAAAGCGGAGCGGAGAATTCAGCTTGTATTTGTATGTGTAATTCATTATGCATCCACAAAACGAATGATATTAATATAAATATCAAAATCAATTCAGTGTAGGCTGTTACATCGTACTTGTGAAAGTCGAAAACTTTGCTAAGGGGGCGTCCATAAATTACGTGAGATATTAAAGGGGGGAGGGGGTCGAGGCAAATCTCATTTAATCTTACGTTGGAGAGAGAGGGGGTCTCGGCATATATCACGCAATTTTTTTTCTGATTGAAACAAAAAAAAATATACTATTTTGGTCCATTTCATCCAGATTGTACATGCTAAAGATTTAATCTTAAGCGTAATCGTATACGATTAAGATCATTCACTAATTCATTCAAAAGAAAATAATTTCATTCATACTTCGACGCTATACATCTACTGAATGTCAAACTACCATATTTGTAGGGCTCGAACGATACTTTCGATACCGAGTAGGTATTGACACTTTCAAAAGCGATACTCGATACTACAACAAGGCAAATACTCGCAAGTACTCATCAAATTGCATTTTGAAAAATCTCATGTGAGATTGGGGGATGGGGGAGGGGGTTGAATAAAATCTCACCACATCTCACCAGGGGTGGAGGGAGGGACAGAAAATTTAAAAAACACCTCACGTAATTTATGGACGCCCCCTAATAGTTCGCAAAACTAAGGCGGGAGTTCTTGTACTGACCAGAATCGGCAAGAAACTCAGCAAGGGCTGCTTTTTTTATTTCAACTATATAACCCAGCTATATAATAAACCAACTATATGTAAGAACCAAAAAGCACATACCCACCGTACGAATTAACTTAATACATGGCGCGACGTCCGCCGTCGACATGCAAAAACAGTAGCAATAGTATAAATGTACGTGTCTTTCTGATTTTGAAATTTAAAGTTATAACCTTGCTGTTCGTTTAGAACAGACACCACCAGCCCTTTTACGTCCCCACTGCAGGGGCTCAGGCCTTCCTTATGGATGGTTAAGGAGGATGGGCCATGACCCTCCACGCTGGCCCAATGCGGATTGGAGGGTATTGACGACTGCAAATACAGCCGGGACCAACGGCTTAACGTGCCGTGAAGCACGGAGTAGCTCGAGATAATAATTTTTTTAGTCACCCATCCCGTGACCGACCCTTGCGAAAGTTGCTTAACGACTACGATCGCGGGCCGCGGCGCTTATCCACTACGCCACCGAGCTACTCGTTAGAACAGACGTTTATTGTTGATTGCTGAATGTTTATTAAGATGATTTAATTATGAATATAAGATTTAATAATAGATCATAGTTTATTAAAGTCTTGATTTCGAAAGCACAAGTTATTTGTACGTTACACTTTGCACAAATGTCATTTTAGCCAGAAGTCATGTTACTTTGTACGAATACCTAGTATATTTGATACATATCGGGTATGTATATAGATAATAAACGGATTTTTTATTACAATTATCGTTTTTATGACTGTTGTTGCTGATTAATAAACCCTATTAATTCATTCACCATACATAATATAAAAATATTATTGAGACTTGATGTAGTTTTCTTGTTGTAAGTTCAACAAACAACTAATAGCAATAAAACTAACTTACCTAGTTGTTATTGTTTTAAGAACTTTTGTTAAATATTTTAATGAAAAATTCCTAAACCTACTATAATATTATTGTATACCGTAGCTAAATACCACTTTTAATTATACCATAGCATAAATTCAATTGATTTCCATAAATTAAAAAAATAAATCTCTGTGCTCACTTCCATTATGATAGTGTCCATTTTTCTCTATACAAATAACAAGAAATTTATTCAAAGTACTTTGTATTAATCGAGTTGCGTTTGCATAACTTGAATTAATTAAATTTCAACTCGATATTTATCCGAGTTATCAGATCCATTACAAAACACTACTTTATATTTTTTAAATACTTCCTCATTACTTGAATTTTTAACTTATCCATGATGATGAAAATTTTCGAATGCGTTGAAAAGAAAACACTAACTATTAAACAAATGACGATTTTAGAAAAAATAATGCCATGTTTTTAAAATAAATTAAATTAAAGAAAAGAAATGATTTGAAATGGCCAGTACGGCAGAATGGCAATTTCATAGGTAAAGACCTATTATTAAATTAAATTCTTGTATGTACTAATTGTTAATTGTCTTGTTTGTTTTATACTTGGTTGTGTTGTGTGTTGGCAAAATAAATACTTTATTATTAATTATTATTATATACTTAGCGCGAAGTAAATTAACGAATTAATTGACACGCTAATTTTTCTTAGCATTTGGTTTTTAGCGTGTTATATATAAACATTTAGTCTTCAGCGTGTAATATATTTTAGTCGTTTTCTTAGTGAAAAGGTCGTTTTGAAAATCTAGTCGGAACCCAGGATTTGGCTGTATGGCTTAGTTCCCTGTCCCATGGAAGAAATTACTACCTAGTCAGGGAGCGTACGTGACGTCATTTATCAACTGCAAGCACAAGCGCGGGAAACTTACAAAGTGTAAAATAATTTTAATGATTTACTGAATGTGTTTTATTTATTTGTGTGTTTGATTTCTCTGCGGAAAACACTATAATATATATAATATACTAGCTTTTGCCCGCGACTTCGTCCGCGTGGTAAAGTTACTTTGAGCAGCATTTCTAACGAATATTTATTCATTATATCGTGTAAAATACCTGAAAAAAAGTCTTATCCTCTTGGCTTATGCCCTTAGGGGTGGAATTTATCAAAATCCTTTCTTAGGGGATGCTTACGTCATAGTAGCTTTATGCATGCAAAGTCTCAGCCCTTAAAATTGACAAAGTTTCATACAAACTTTCATCCCCTATTTTATCCCCTTGGGGGTGGAATCAATCAAAATCCTTTTTTAGAGAATGCCTACGTCATAGTAGCCTTATTTATACAAAATCTCAGCCCGATCGGTTTAAAATTGACAAAGTTTCATACAAAATTTCATCCCCTATTTTATCCCCTTGGGGATAGAATTGATCAAAATCCTTTCTTGGCGGATGCCTACGTCATAACATCTACCTGTATGCCAAATTTCAGCCCGATCCGTCCAGTGGTTTGGGCTGTGCGTTGATAGATCACTATGTCAGTCAGTCACCTTTGAGTTATATATATTTAGATTATTTTCCCGTGGGAATGCGTCATTTTCCCGCGGTAAAAAGTAGCCTATGTCCTTTCTTGGGTATTAAAATATCTCCATACCAAATTTCATGCAAATTGGTTCAGTGGTTTAGGCGTGATTAAGTAACAGACAGACAGAGTTACTTTCGCATATATAATATTAAGTATATAATTTATGGATATAATATATATATACTAGTGGACGCCCGCGACTTCGTCCGCGTGGAAGTCGGTATCCCGTGGGAGTGAGAAGTTTTCCCAGTAAAAAGTACCCTATGTGTTATTCTGATGTATAACCTATATTGCTGTAAAGTTTTATCCAAATCCGTCCAGTAGTTTTTTCGTGAAAGAGTAACAAACATCCATACATCCATACTTACAAACTTTCGCCTTTATAATATTAATAGGATATGTTTATTTATTTACATCTAAGAATTGAAGTAACTAAACAAAAATAAATATTTATATCACCTAAAAAACCAAAACATTACGTATTTTGCATTCATTCAAAATTCAAAAGGAGGATTTTCTGTGGAAATATGTATGTGTATTTTATATGTTCATCGATTTCTATCAAACTAGCTGTTTCCCCGAGTCTTCGCCTGCGTTAAATTATAGCCTATGTCCCTCGCGTATTATGTAGTTTCCCGTAGATGAAAGAATTTTATAACCGATCCAATAGTTTCGGAGGCTCTCCAAAGCAAACAAGGAATCAAATCTTTCCTCGTAACAATATGTGAAAATTATAAAGATAAAAAACATTTTTTTATATAGATATGTAATATGTTTAGTGTCACCTATACCTATTAAATAAAATACGGCTTTAACTTATGAATATTTTAATATCAGTTTTAACAAACATGTAAGTAAGTTTAGCAATTATATTCAAATATTGCAATTAGTTGAAATAAAATTACAGAGGAGGTGCTAGTAAACATATGTTTTGTAATTAAATCATATAATTACATATCGGAAATAACTGTGATTTATGCGACAAAGTATTCATAGAAACAAACGAACGAATATAAGTTTCTTTAGTGTCTTTTCACGTTGACTTCAGTTGAGTTGAATTTGAGACTCCGTTTACCGACATGAGTGAAATACGCTTTTCATTATCCAAACTATTAAAAATTCTCGATGATCCAAAATATCCGTGTTTGGGGCCAAATATTTGGATTTTAACCTTTACTGGCCTCTGGTATCGAGATTTTACATCGAAATTGGCGAAAGTTAAACGATTTTATTTATACATGGTTCTTACTCTTTACTTGACTCAGTATATTAGGTTTGTGATGAAATTCGATGTCGCCTCTGTAATGCTGCTTTTGCAGTATGCACCGTTTCACATAGGCATTGTGAAGGTGTGTTTCTTCCTGAAAGATTATAAGAAGTGGCAAAAATTGATCGGTTATATTTCTGATGTAGAAAGAAAGCAAATATCTGATGGTAACGAGGAAATAAATAAAATAATATCAGAATACATCAATCGGAGTCGACTCGTATCTTACTGTTTTTGGGCTTTGCCAGTTTTCGTCAATCCTCTAATGTTCGCTGAACCGTTTAAAAATATTCAGAGTGATGGAAACACCACCAGGACATATCAGAAAATCTTAGATATCTACACCCCATATGGGGAATATCCTCCAGGGTATTACGTTTCTATGGTTATACAGACATTGATGGGATGTACAACAAGTGCCTATATTGTTAGTTGGGATACACTCGTTTGTGTTACTATGATTTTCTTTGCTGCACAACTTAAGATTACACGTTTGATGTGCTCTAGAATTATAGATAAACAAAACGTACAGAAAAGTTGCGAGAATATTACCGAATGCCATAAATTTTACACGGCTCTTGTCAGGTAAGTTTTTTAATAATGTTCAGGTATGATTAGAAAGCAACATTATTTTTCTTTTATAAAGAAATATAAGGTTGAATCGCCAAATATATTTGACTTTCAGTAAACAAAGAATGTTTAATAATCTGATATCACCAGTTATGTTCGTGAATTTATTTGTCACATCAATCAATTTCGGAGTCAACATCATCGAAATCGCTCGGGTAAGTCTTACTAAGTATTTGCACAGAAAATATTGTCACACTTATCTTTGAAATAATATCGCTTTTGAATTTTTTTTTTTCATGTATGTTCATAAATTTTTGTGCTAACTGTTGTTCGATTTTAATTTTCTTGTATGATTATTGATTACAGATGAACGATTTAGCGACATTGACATCTGGCGTTTCATATCTGGGTGCTTGTCTTATTCAACTGTTTGTTTTTTATTGGCACAGCAATGAAGTTACTGTGGAGGTAAAATTAGTGTTTTTGAGGTGTATTATATATTAACTAGGATTTGGCAAGGATAATGAGTATCTGTAATATACTGGACAGATTTTATCTTATAAATAGCTTCCTTTAATAATTAAGGTGTCCATGAGATTTGCCCTAAAAACTGATCTATCACAATCCCTTACAAAGTTATAAGAAGTTAGTAACTTTATTATTTGCGTCTAACGATTGCCTTAGATAATTCTAATTAACGTCAATTTAATGATATCGTTCACATGTTTAATAGTTGTAGCGTAAAATTCGAGAAAATCTTTCAAATTTCAGATTGAAAGGTATTGTTATAGCCTTTAAAATTAGACAATTAGGCCTCTGGTATTGTCAAGGTTGACAAGAAAAAACATTAATTTAATATTATACTCGTAGGGACTACATACTTTACTTAGTAAAACGCAGGTGATTCGTGTCTTCTGGAGAAATTATACCTTCGTGCGTAATTTCAGAGTGATCGTGTCAGCTACGGCACCTTTGAAAGTGATTGGTCTATCGTTAATTACAAACTACAAAGAGAAGTGGTATTACTGGCGATTACAACATCAAAAATATTGCTTTTTGCAGCAGGACCGTTTAATGACTTGACTCTCAGTACATTTTTGGGTGTAAGTCATTTCTTGCTTCCGATACACAGTATAATTTTCATACAAGTTCTAATTCTAAACTCATATTTTACGATAACGTTTATTTCTACACTAGTTATCACTTCGTTTCTTATAAAAGTACATTCGTATTTATTATATCTGTTACCTGGATTAAGTCAAGGATGATTAATAAACTATACTTCGAAGTTTTTAACGATGTAATTATTTTTTAATTTCTTTATTTATTTGTTTCAGATAATACGAGCAAGTTATAGTTTTTATGCTTTACTTAGCAAAACTAATAATTAAAAAATATATTTTAAAAGATTCTAAAGATAAATAAGAAAAGTGCTTAAAAATAGTGCCCAATACTGCCGGCCAATTCCACGCTGGGCGCCAATTTTTTAACGAAGTGTTTACAAAGCAAAAGGTGTCTCATCTTTTGTCTCTACTTTGAATAGTTATTGATATTTACTAATTAACACAAGATCCCAGAGCTGTCAGAAATTACATATTTTCTAATAAACAAAACGTGTTGGATATAGTAGTAGTGTTAGTAATATGCTTAGGTTGTATGCCTATCAGCTAGTTTGGTTTGATGGCGACGGCCATTTTACAGACTTGTTGAATTCTAAGGGCTGATTTTGAACTATGTTTTATAGGATATTGTTAAAAAGTAATCATTAGTACTTCAGACAGAAATAACTAGCCTAAAGTGAGTTGGCAAATATAACGTTATAAGAGCTTGTAATAGGTTTTCCTGTATTATTATTTTCAGTTTTTGTTCATAATTTTAGGCAGAATAGTTTCGGAGATTTTATAACAAACTTTCGTTTATATTCTTAAATAGTTATTGTCAGAAATTATATTAAAGGTCCTCACAAAGAGTATTTTAAAAGATAAAACAACAATTTGTTTTATATGTATGCGTGTCTTATCATGTAAATTCTCTTATTTATTTAATTCAAAAAATGTAACTTTTAGGTACTATTGGTCTGTAATTTAAAGCACATCTTACATTTTTTGATGTTACAGCTACGATTAGTAAACCTATTACAAGACGTCGATAAAAGCCCTCGCTTGAAAGTCATTTTAGTCTCACAATGATTTACTATGTTATGTCCACAGAGATTTATTAGCTCGCGTTGTCCATAATTCACAAGTTAAAAGCGAAAAATGAAATACCCACTTTGTTATGTAAATGACTTTTTGATACCAAAAATAAATGAAAAAAAATGCATTAAAAATCAGCACCATTCCAAATAGAACACATTTGAACAATTTATTTGTTACCCGTTATGGTAGACTAAAATAGCACCTGCCATTATTATTTTTACAATAAGTAAACATGATTTCATAAATAAGTAATAAATATATCTATTGTGGCTCATTTCATTATTATTTTTGATATGTTTAAAAAAATGTTATTTTCTTTTAATTTTCCGCGTTATTACAAAGTATATATTTTCATATTTTTTATATTTTCCATATATCTCAATATCTACATACAAAATTGATTATTTTCCAACAATACATGCAATTTATTAACAAACTAACTTTGAGGATTACTCATACATATTTCAATAATAATAAATAATTTATTTCTTGCTTTTGTTCAGTCTACTTTCTATTGCGAAGAAGTTTACTATTTTTTTTACTATATTTTTAATTCTTAAATATTTTCATAAATAAAAAATTTATGGTACTTTGACGTTGCGTTCGCAAGAATAATTTCGCTTTACTCCTTGGTACCTCAGCGTGTGACGTCACGCTGTCGAATGTGACCACGAGGATTCGGCTCAGTAATATTGTTTTTGAGCATCGCCTGCATCTGACAATCGCTTTTTGATGTACTTTAATACATCTGGACCTGAAAAGCATTAGGTCGGATGTGCAGAACCAGCTAAAATCACTTATCGCCATAACGTTGCTACACTCTTTTTTCTCTTTCCGGCAAATTAACTCTTGTATGTTTGTGCCTTTTTACTCATGAGCAACAGTCATGCATAAAGTCGGATCAGACGACTTTTTCAAATATTTTGATTGCATTTAGCTATTTCTGTTTTTATACAGTTATGCCTAAGATTCCCGACATCCGACCTAATGCTTTTCAGGTCCAGACATAGGGACAAAATAATAGTAGAAGATTTTCAGCGTAAACTACAACAATAAAAAACCCTAATAAAATATTTTAAAATAAGGAAACGAAAAAATCTTTTTGTTTAATAAAATGCATCTACTTATAAAGTCTCAGTATGTGGGTCCTGAGTCTTACCACAAAACAAACCAAAAGAGGTATAATAACCTTACTAACTATTATCTAAGCTAATAGTTTCGGAATAAAGTGGCTGTGACATACTGGCGGATGCACAGACAGACAGACTTGACGTTGACGAATCTATAAGAGTTCCAAGTTTTATCAACTAGTGCAAGCTCATTTTCATTGGTCGATAGGGTCCACATGCGGAGTGCAGAATATTTCTGTAATTATTTTCATTATCGGACGTTGACTCTCATCGGTTTACCGACTAGTACAAGCACATTTACATTGGTACATAGTGCCCACATGCCGAGTGCCGACAATCACTATGCTTATTTTCAATAGGATGAGTAGGATAGGTAGAATCACTCGCACTATGCATGCGAGCCCTATCGACCAATATAAATATGCCATTATTAAACTCAACAGCTAATACAAAAACCGCTAACGGGCGTACCCCTTACTTATTGAATCATTACTTCTAAAGAGGTGTGACAGCAAGTCCCCCCCCCCTAACTTTAAGCATATATTCCTATTAAAAAAAAAAATAATAAAAAAATTAAGATTGGAATACTTACGTAAAATATGCTGTAGATCTCGACGAACAATTTCAACGAAAACTTGTTTGAACGGGGTGTAGCTATATTCTAGAACATTTATAAAAATCGTAAATATTAGTTTGGTACTCTTACTATCACTATGAAAACACAACAAAAACAAAGTATTATAATTATTGAATAGGTTACAAAGTATTAAAATGTAATATTTTTACGGAACGTTCGGTGCTCGAGTCCGACTCGCACTTGCCTGTTTTTTTATACTGATTGTTATCTAAACAGGCTTAATAGTTCGTGGGTTCGAATCCTATCTCAGAGTATCAGGGACAAAGTTGGTTTTTAAACATTTTTTATACACATTAAAAGTAATATCTTTACTACATATTTGTAGGTTAGCAAATACAAACATTTTTGACTTTTCTTATTATTATAAAAATAAAAAATAAACTACAGTTAAATAAAAAATTAAAATAAAATGTCCATAAAATTAGCAACTAAAAACAACGCCAGAGTAAACACTACTATTTAATTCGTAGGGCCTAGTAGAGTTCGGTGCTGTTACGTCACAGGCGTTTCGGAGGCCAAAGACGTTTCGTGCGAAATCCGTTTTTAATCTGAGAGACCAAGTTGACACATGCAAAAACTGGTATTTTGGAAAAAGCAATGATTAATTACTAGTATTAAACGATAGTCTTAGTAATACAATCTTAGAATAATGAAACAATAAAATGACCGAAAGACACTTGTTATGCAATTTCTCTTAATAGTAAGGAGCGGCGCTACAATTTTAGTTTAAACTAAATTAATCGCATTTTTCTTGCATGACCCTTGGACCACATAATATACTACTTGTTCTGCGGCAGTATGAACTAGATTCCTTTATATTTTATTAAAAATAACTAAAAGTTAAATGTGCCGGTTTTATTTGAAAGAATGTTTGTGTTTTATCCAAGATTTTATTTATTAGATAATTTCTTTTAATTATTTGTTATGCCAAAAAGCTTATCAGCAATGAACGGCGATGGATAAATCAACCCTAAATCTTAAACCAGTAAGTACCTTGAATTTCTTGTGTACATTAATGTCTCATTCCATTCCACTCCAAAGACATCTCTTTGTTCCACGCACATTTTGTAAAGTTCATTTTATACCAAAGTTGTATAGAACTAGTAAATGTCCAGTAGCAGGGGCGCCGATTCTAGGTGCGGAGCACAATGATCATCAAGACAAATAAAATAAAACTCATCGGTGTGTGCGGAGTGTCCGAGTGTGACTTTAAAATTAATTATTTTTAAAATTAAATTTAATTAGTTCAGTTTTTATTTGCACACTCACGTATTTGAATATAGTATATAGATAGGCATCCAAATTTCAAAAGCAGTAGGTAGCAATTTCTTGATAAAGAATAATAAGTATTCCTATATAAAAATAGAGCCTCTATCACATCAATACTTATAACAATATTTTGCAATTACCTCTAATTTTTATTTTATAAATTAATATTCTATTAATATTTGAGAAATAATGTAGAAGTAACATCATGTCTGCGATTAATAGTTTTGGAAATATGGTGCTATGTTTGTAGAACTGCTGTTACTCAGTTGAAAATGCTCACTACAAATTCAAGCCACTATATGACATCCTACATGTGCTATGGTAGTGAAAAAAGTATGGGTGTCTGTGCAATCTTTTTGTTATTTGTGTGTTTATGTTTAGTGAAATGAAAGTTGTTATGTTTTATGTAATTAATTTGATGCCATATGTATTTTAGCAAATTTTTGTAATATACATTCTCTACTTTTTTCAAGTTTTCAAAGGATAATATTTTCCAAATTTTTTATTTATTTAATTTTTCATGCAAAAGTATACATAGACTGACTTAATGCCTGAGGTATTCTGTGATGAGATACATTGTGGTAAGGTAAGAACAATTAAAACAATTAAAAAGAAAGTAGATAGTAGAACAAATATCTAAAACATGCATAATACATACATAATAAGAATGGGTAAATAATATAAATATATATTATAATAATAAACATATGTAGACATTTACATAAATATAATATAGGCATACCGGCTAGTAGACATTCTAAGGTCTAAAGGGAGATATTGTACCTTTTTGTACTTGTTATGTTTTTTTTATTGGATCCTATTTAAAGTTTATTAAATTTTCAAACAAGTTTTTAACAAATATTGTTCTTAAAAAATGTAGATAATCAAACAATCAAATCTTTCTATTTTAGAACATATAGATTTTTTATGTAGTTTATATATCCATCACAAGATGGCGCCAGTTGTATTTTATAATGTAGTAAACCAAAATGTTAAAGATCATTGCTTATTTATATTAATAATAACGAGAATATGGTTTTCTTACATTTTATTACCAATAATGTAAAAAAGAAATAACTGATATCATTTTTTATACTTAACACTAACAAATAAAGATATTAATTTCTTAATTATGGAAATAGACTTTTTTCATACTTTGTTTTTGTTCTACAACATTTATATCATCATTACAGCATTTACATTGTTTTTTATCAACCATAAATAATTACAAAGGTACCTAAGGTAAGAGGTAAAGGTACCTAAACTCTACAATGTTATTTTATCA